GTCGTCAGCCGCAACCCAGCTATTATTAAAAATAACATCACCTTTAAAACAGAAAACTTTATAGTTGTTATGAATAAATCTTAGACTCAATGAAACAGCTGACTCCATTTTTCAATCCTTTAGAAACCTGTACAAGCTCAAATATTCTTCTCCTGTGCTTGCACTAATGTACAGTTTCCAACTTTGCGTGACTACATTTTAGTTTCTGCATACAACAAAAAGTCTTGAGAAATAGTTCTATAAGTGAATTCGAACTAATATGCTTAAAAATAGGCACACGCAGCCGCCCACACATACAGCAGCCTACAATGTGAAACCATACTAACATTCAAGTCAAAACAACAGTACAACTTCCAAACCCTGGCTGGTGTTTTTAGAGGAGCTGCGGTAACGTTGAATCTGACACGACTGGGGGGGATTCAGACGCCGAGCCGCGCTGAACAGGCTTCCCACTTACTTCTCTCAAATGTTGCATTCCCAGAATAAATCCAGACATCTTCAGCCAGTGAGCTATGAGGTGGCAAAGGCCTCCGCATGCTAACTCCCCCTCACTTGCCAATTTTACGCTCCTCTTTGAGCTGCCATGAGCTTTCAATGGAAAACGTCAACACCCTTAAAATAAGCACAGTGCTGCTGCCGCTGCTGCTGGACCGCGCTTGTGTACCGATGCGGACGCTCACAGGCACGTACACACGCGTTTTAGAATCACACAAGTGTAAGACAAGGCCAATGTATTCACCAGAGCCAGCTACTTGTGCTTGTAATGCAGCTGTATGAAAGGATGCGGAGACTACTGCTAAGTGAGACGTCATGTACCAGCAGCAAATACCGTAAAGTCCAAGTCAATCAAACACCTTCCTGGTAAAGTTTTCTTCAGTTCATGTCAGATTTCCTTCCTGATGCAATCATTTAATAAATTTCAAATGTCAGGCATGTGCAGAGGACCTTTGAGTACCTGCTCCAGGGCGTAGTCCAAGTACAGCGACAGCGGAGGCTAAAGGGAAAGTGTCAAGTCTTACTCACGCATCCAGAAATAACTATAGTACGATGGCAATGGGACCCACCATCAGCATTTAAACTGCAAGCCAAATGACAACTAATGTAAAAGGCTGTATATTGTCACAAATTAGTGTTTTAGAAGCAAATCGGTCCATAAAGCCTTTTTTATTGCACTCCACAGAAAAGGTTCCAGACACACAGAGGGGACTGACTCCATCTCTCAATGCACCACACGTCATAGTGCTATTCAAAGATATATGAAATTTACATTGAACATACATTGATAACTATTGCTGTTGTTTGTTTGCATCAACAAGATGATGATGGTAAAAATCAGGAATGTCATGTGAAAATTTGAATCTTTTTGCAGTCGCTTCAATGTAGTATTGATAATGGGAAAGGCACATAAAAGCTTTTTGCTCCTGCCTTCTCCTTTTGAGCTATGATTCTTGAAATGACATGTATCTGTAAAAATACATTGTAAAGCTCAGATAAACTACTACGACATTGAATTAGAAAGCTAAAATCCCCTCCAATAGAGTTAAGCACCAAGTAGTAAAATTGTTACATGAGCGAAGATTATGCAGAAACTTGGCTTCCCACAAATATTTCCCAGCATTTTTTTCCACATCTTTTTCTTTTATTTATTTATGTTAATGATTTAACTCTTTTACAGTTTCAGGACTCCACCTTTGTCTGTTTCCCACCAGATTTCTGAAACCTTACCCCTTAATGTAGGGGTGTCAAACAGGTCCTTAAAGGGCACGTGAAGCTGCAGGTTTTAACTCCAACAGGTACTTAGTAGAGTCTGAAACTGAACACTTGAGGAAATGGGTGGAGTTTGCTTTGCTCCTGTTTGGTTGGAATGAAAGTAAAAGTCATTTTCAGGTTTTTTTGTTCAAGTATATGAACACATTTCTTAAGATTTTCTTTCCTAAATCAAGGCCAAATTGACTTAATTATTGTAGATGTTTTTGTTTTTGTTTTTAAAATTGTTGTCCAGGAAAGGCACTTGAGAACCACCGTTATATCACATGCTAACATTACTCCTGAACATGGACAGGACTCTTAGAAAGATTGGATTTGAAGGGAATAATGGCAAAATGGACTAAAAGTATTTGGTTTTTCTGTACCAGACAATATAAGGTGAACCTAAAATACCTTTTTTTTTTTTTAAGAACAAATCTTTACTGCCTACCTTTCTGATACAACCACTTCTGCATGGAGTGGTGTCGCGCTGACACAAGGGAATCACTGTATTATTCCTCTGATCTGATCACTGGCTCAACAAGTGCTGTTGACTCAATAACAACCTTTGGAGACAGCTATTGAGCGACTAATGTGAGATCTATCAGAGCTGAGTGAAGGTAACACACATTCAAATGCGTCGTCATGTACAGTCATTTAGAACAGGGAACAATGGCAGATATGGCCGTGTCCAATTATGTCAAGCCACACACCACTTCAGATGATCAATTACACACAACTATTAACATATTTGTTTGGTTGGTTTGTGTTTGAGGATGAATGAATGGATCATGACACACACAGATAAAGAAATAGGAGAGAGAGACACACACACACACACACACACACACATACAAACAATTATTATTCACTGGATAAGAAATATATCCACAGTTTAGGTATTTGTCAAGACCCAATAATTGACTAATTTCTAATAGTGAATTACTGGTGAATCTTGGAACATTTTAAGATCAGTCAAAAGTTGATTTCAGCTCACATTGTAAGCTGTATTCAACTTACAATGTGAAGCGAATACATGACAGACTCACATATCTAGCCTTTATTTGTTATTTCATTTCAGTTTCGTCCCTTTATTATCCATTTCTGGGTGAGGGGGTGGTAATCAGAGCTGCTACCCAATTCACATTCAACATTTATTTGTTATAATGTTGATAATTGGCTCACAGCTTGTAAAAAAAACACAAATAACTTAGAAAATGTAAATAATTTGGTATAATCCTCAAAATGATAATAAACAAAAGCTTGGCATATGTCACTCTGTATGTAATAGGTCCATATCATATATTGGTTTCACAATTTAAGTGGAATGACAGAAAACAATTAACTTCTGAGCAATATTATAATTTTCTGAGTTTCACCTGTGTGTTTTCATATTTTTGATCAAGAGCTCTCTGCAGGTGAAAGCATGTGGTCCAGAGAGAACTCAAATGCATCATGATTGTTACAGATTAAAAGGCTGTGGTCGATATTTGTGATTTTTGTCTCTTCCCTATTATCCAACTCAAGGATGGAGCTCACAACATTCATGCTGAACGTGACAACAGAAAACTAAGGATTTCACATTTTCATGTGACAAATTCTGATATTATTAATTTTTCACAGCTCTGATGACAAACAGAACACAACCATATCAACACTTATGCATATTCAAAACTCCTCCTTGTCATTTCTGTTATGTACAACTGGTGTCGGAAGAACTGCCAAGACAACATCCATTGCAAATCATAAATTAATTTTCACTCAGACCAGAAGCACGCGATGGTATCAGACTCAAGCAGAGAGGTGGAACTTTCCAGCTCATTCTCCACAGCCGCGGAAGTCACACCATTAGTTGGACTTTTTTAAACTCTTTGGAAAAAAAATCTCATTACGTTATTCTGAATATGTTGTGAAGAGATTTGGATTTGACATTTCATTGATACAGTATGAACACTGAATGACAAAGCAATCAATGACAAAGCAATCAATGTATTTTGGGATTTATATGTATTTTGTCATGGCCGATGCAATAAAAAGGACCTTTTGAACTTTTAACAGTTGTAAAATAAATATAGATATAAAGCAAAGGAGTAAAAGACAAACTTGATACTCTCAGGATAAAACTGGAAACATTCAGAGAAACACAAGAATCACAATTGTGCAAATGCATAAAATTTTTGCCAAATATGATAAATGTGGAAACCCCGGATATTGATACATCCGATTATCAATATGAAATCCACATGAGTGAAATATTTCTATAACAGCATTGAACGTCTATCAATATCACTAAAGTAAAGAAAGTGGCTGCTGTTGACCTAATTGAATGCATAAAACTGTCACTGACACTTCCACCCGTTGGGTCAGAGTCAGCCTTAGAAGTGCTCCTGTAAACCATATCTTTTAGAGCAGGATCTCACTGTGGACTGCCAAAGTCAGCACATGGACCTTTCAGCCCATAAACAAGAGGCCAAGCTGTCGCCCTCAATCACCATCACAGAGAGAATGAAATGAAGCCATTAGGCGTTTGAAGCGCCGATCCACTTTTACACACACTGTCAATTAGAGCAGCAGCCTCTCACCCTGCGTTTCATATCCATCCATTTATTATGTAATACTAAAATGACACTATTAGCCATTGATCGGTGAAGTTTATTTCCTTTGAGATGGGACATGTGCTTAAATGGATTTTGTGATTCAGCTGGCACAGTCAGGGTGAGTGAGGTTGCAAAGCGCTCAGACAGGAAGTTCAGGGGGCACTTTAGGCAGCAGAGGGGGACCCAGTGCAGGGTGCAGGAGGCGATGAGCCACGCTGACACCTGGCGCTCCAGATGACTACTCTGAACCCAGATGGACCCTCACATGTATCCACACTCATAGGCGCCAGGACATTTACACTTGTCATAAACGCATATTGTGCACATATTTGCAGTAATAGAACAGCATGGATTCTATTTCCTTGGCAGATCATGATGTCCAAAAGCATATTCATGCCCATGCGCACAGAATACTCAACCACCACATAATGGCTTATAATAAACAGCAATTAGATTATAATCATTAGTGACATTCAGTGGGTTTTGTGTGAAGCAGAGATTAAAAGACCCCATGGTGCAACTCCCCTATCCTCTCTTCACCCCTCACCACCTGTCAGGGCTCTGACAATATGGCACATATGTTTGTCAATCTTGCATTGTTACTTCTATATACAGAGGAAATAAATCATGAATTGCTTAAATGTCTGACCGTCTTACCTCCAGTGCAGCAGACGGCTTCTTCTTCAGCTCCTCACATTTGCGGAACTTGCAGATCTGGTGGCCTGTTTTGCGGTTTCGGCAGCTGCTACACTGCTCACAGTTAATGCGCCGTCGACAGGGTGGGCACATGCCGCAGCGTTTCCTCTTCTTTTTACCGGAGTTGATGGCAGAGGCCAGCTCACTCTGAGCTGGGTAGTCAGCCAGGCCTGCCATGTGCAGAGCGTTGTCCGCCAGAAACACCCCGGCCGGCGTCATGATGAACAGCCCCGGGTTGAAGGGGAAGCCACCCCCTACTCCATATGGAAAGTCTGCAGGACCCCCCACGGCGTCCGGCACAGACGTACCTTCCAAGTCGCTCGCCCCAGAGCTCGCGTCCCCAAGTCCTACTCCCATGCCCCCAGGCAGCAGCATGTGCTCCATCCCTGCTCGTTTCAGCAGGGCCGCTGCCTGGGCAAAGTGTAGCAGGCCATTCTGTCCCTCCAGAACCTGCTCCAGGGTGCGGTCCAGCTTGCCCGCTGTCAGAGCAGAAACAGTGGGCTGGGCCGTAGGGGGAGCAGGGGGCTTAGGTTTACTTTCACTACTGTGTGTGTGTCCATTGGTGGTGGCCGACGAGACGGCTGTGTACTGGGACAGGGTGCGTGAGTTCTTTAGGCTCCTATTCAGAGGAGCGCTGATGATGCCACTGCGGTTCCTCCGCTCTAAAACAGGAGAATCTCCTTTACTGCTGCCTTTGCCCAGCTCATCTGTACGACCCCCCTCCGACAGCCTACTAGACATGGTCCAGAGCGTACGAGTCCGGGACGGGGGTGAGGGTGGAGAGGGGGCAGGGGTGAGCGAGGGGGGGAGTCTCTGCTGCGTCCGTTCTGCGCCGGCGAGTGAGACGCTCACCTCCACGGGTTAGTGTGGTGGAACAGCAGGCTCCCGGGCCCAGGGACTGCACTACGACACTGCCTTCATCCACGGTCAGCCATGGACATCTGCAACTTCACACAAGGACACAGAGGACACATGGGTTACAAACTCAGAAAAACACTAATAATGTACCAGCTCATACGTGTAGGATAAAAACCTTATCTTTATTGTATTTAATAACATTAAACTCATAATTGGTTAATAGAATAAATGAGTTATACGACAATCAAAAGTTTTTTCCCCCATACTATAGCAAAATGAGTGTACTGGGTCAAGAGGCAGGACAGAGAGACTGTAGTGGAAGTACCAATGTGCAGGGCTATTATCATCAGATTCCCATGACTGATTGCCCATAAGAACGAGAGCGCGTCTCTTCTCTTGACCTGTCCGTGTTCACAGACCGCAGACCACCTCCCACAGAACGGCTCAGGAAATGGCTGGGCCTGTCCATATAAGGCAAACAAAGGCGGCGGGAGGGGGGGTGTCTGTGTGTGCACTGTGTGGAAATTGGAAGGCCAGAATTAGTGGGAGGTAAAGCTTCAAAGGCACAGCACAGCCCCCACATTCTCAGCAGCTCAGGGGGAAGTGGCGCCACTGAAGCAGAGCCACGAGCTGCCGTCGCCAGTTTCAGTTTCTCCCACTCCTGCCCTGGCCAAGCTCTGGTTTCCTCTTTGCATCTCCACTGCCGTACATATGACCTGTGTGAGCGAGCGTATAGGACCGCTGGAGAACCATCACGCACAATGATCGGGGCTTGTGGTTTAACTGATTATTGAATCTAAAATCCGATGCGTGCAACGGTTGGTCAGGCGCAGCTTGTGCTATAAATACTTAAACAGTTTGAAAGGCTGAACAGTTGGTGCTGAGGGAAATTGGACGTTACGCTTAATAAAAGTTGCAGCTGGAGTTATTTGTACATCTTGCTGTATTGTGCAGATACATATCGCAGTCAGAGAGAGTAACCAAGTGGTAGATAATGTGTTAGATAGGTATCGAAATGATCAAATAATAACAATAATGATAATCAAACTGTTGATAGCAAGCAACAACGATCCACTCAACAATACCTGGTGATTAGTCTGAAAAGTCAAGTGTAGTCAATAACATTTTACATGAAAATAGTCAACCTAAAACACAATTGGCTTTTCTCCGATCGTGATTTATTTCATAACCAAGAACACTGGAATGGAACAATGACAAGTTCAATTCATGGAGGTTTAATGAATTACAGTCTATTATTCTTCTAATCCCCAAATGTAGGTCTTCAGTCAACCAAGTCATGCCCTAGTTGATAAAAATGTATGCCATATATTCAGTCCACAGAAAAACCTCTCCAAATGTCTGTGTATCAGACTCAAACTGGGCTGAAGTGTATGTGCAGAAATGTTGCCAGAATCTTCATGTCTGTGGCACATGGAGCTACATTACAATATTACAGATAATAGTTATTAAAATCCCTCTGTATTAGGCATTACTACTTATTTCTGCATCTGCTTTCATTCAAATAAATGGCGGTGCTATTGTTTTGTTAAATTTTGTTATTGATGGTGGTGCCAAAACAGATGAATTTCACCTAGCAAAATGGCAACCCAAATAAGATCCTCATTCGGCTCTCTGATTGGATAATCAGCTTTAAAATTGTGGATATCATGTTAATTGTATTGTTAACTCAAGAATAAGGCCAGTTGAAGGTATTATCTGGGGACACGAATAAAACCTTTAACTGTATATTCTTGTGAGCTGCATGGAATAATAATTACACATACAGATTTTGGTTGGCCTGACACAAACATTTATTGATTAAAGGTAATTAAAGAGTCTTAGGGCTGTAATATCAAAGTGATATCACTAGAGAAAAACTTGTTTTGTGATACCATATATGGTGATACCTATTTCAACAATGACGTTGAAATATAGGATTGTTATGGACTGCTGCAAAGGACCTTTTGGCAGCTGTCCCACTTCTTTCAATTATTTAACTAGTATTTAATCATAACACTCAACAAGTGTTGAAAGGTTGAGATTAGAATCAGTTCCTAATCTGGTTATCAATTTTGTATGACTCTAGTCTAATCAAAATTCTATAATTTTCACTAATGACATTGGAGGACTTGGCAAAAGGTAACACGAGACGCCTCGCCACAAACACGGAGAGCGTGACGTTCTTCTCAAATCCTTTCACATTGAAAAAGCCTGGGTCACTGCTGCTGGTGACAGGGATGACATCACACTGGTGCCACAATGGACCTGCGTCAGTCCAGTAACAGCTCACAATGACGACAATGCACTAAGCACTGCACTATCCATTGGTGTGAACAGTCCCTAATTTCTCTGTCATTATCTTTCATTAGGAAAGCAGCTGGGCAGTGTATTTTCACTCATTTCATTAAAAAAACAAAACAATCAAATGTCTAAGTGGTCGGCCTGTAGATGGTGATGTTTTAGATATATTTTATTCATACAACATTTTGTGCTTTTGTTTTAACACATCATAAACAACAAATAACAGCTTTGTGCGTGTTATATAATGCTAGTATGAAGGGCTAGCATTACAGCATATATATGAGTATACAGTATATAGGGCATGAGACCAAAGTAATGACATAATCAGCTAGAGTTGTACATTTTTATTTCAGAGTTAGTGTGAGTTAACTTTCCCCAAATAGTTCTGGCTTTTAACTTCAGTTTCATTTATATACATAACAAACAGTTCTGGTCTGAGTACAGTGCCTTGAGGAACTCCATGTGTTCTCTATTGGACATGAAAAAGATGGATTGGTGCATCCAAAACTGAACATGTGTGAAGTATAGGCCCAAGACTCCACTGAAAGAGATTCAGTCTCAGCAGGACTATCCTGGTTAAATAAAGGTCAATACAGAAATAGTACATCAAAACATGGAGGCATGACCCTTCAAACATGCATACAAACTCGTACCAGGTTTTTGCACAATGTCGATGCAATGCTACATTGTAGAAGGAATATTATTAGAAAAACACTGAAAGAAAATTGCTCAGATTAAGTGATTGCATCAGGGGAAACTTGACCAACAACTCATCAGCTCATGTATGTGTTTATGTGTATGTATATGTGTATAGGTATTGTGTGTCCTGTCATCATCTGTACATGCACATACAGACGCACACAGACACACACAAACACATCAGCAGGAGGATAATACTGTAGTAGCTTGCTCTCTCTCTCGTCTACTGCTCCCAGAGTCTTGTCCTTATGTGACCCACGACCCACTGTCACAAGAGACCCGGTCATAAATGCTGCTCTCTTCTATCAACAAAATAACTATCATTATAACTCCAAGAATCCACGGATCAAAAAAATAAAAAAATCTTATCTTATTGTCTCAACAAATTGGAATCAGCAACTTGTGTGGATGGTACTGGGACAATGAGGCAAAACTCATATAGCTCATGTGAGTAAAAATATATATTTTGAAAATGCATAAAAAGTAAAATAATAATGTCAAGCAAAAGGATATTATTGATGAAAACCTGATTGTTTTGGCCATTCTACTAATTTACTAATGCAGCTGTTTTTGTGTTTTATAGAAATAATACATTTAACAGAAATCAACTTCTGTGGCTGCAACTCAACTTGCTCTTGTTGATTTAGTTTTGCAAAGGAACTGTCATATTGACATAATTTTTAAATTGTGTTGACAGCTATTTCATTTTGGATTTTCAATTTCAGCGTTAATAAGAAAAAAGTTAAAACTATAAACAAAGCATTTCCGTCTCAGCAAATAATACATTCTTTGAATATTATTAGACACACTTGCAAACAAAGCACATGGCAACACAGAATTAGCAAGTGGAGATAAAGATCTGGATATAAATGGTGCAAGCAATCGATATGGCCCAACAACAATGCATGAAGCTTTTCCCCCCCACATCGACCAGTGAGCTCAGTGGGAGACGGCAGCGCGGGCGTGGCTAAGCAGGCACAAGCACAGCATCCACAACAGTAATTGGTCATCTACTGTTTGAACAACTTCAATGATGACAGTTCATGCTTAATGTCTTGATGGAGGAAAAGGATCGATACACTAGCATGTTAACCAAGATAGAAAACAGTCAACCAAATATAAATCATGGCCTTGATTCCAAATGTCACTAAAACAACAGGTGTCTGGAAATGTCGATATGCCTCAAATTTACTTTTATAGTCATGTCTCTTGAGTCTTTCAAGTCAAATTAGCATGAAGGGTAAAAAAACAATATTTACTCTGAACGAGTGGACCACAGAGAACATGTGGTCATTTACATGTCATTTACTTCTTTATACACTCACATCTTCAGTCATTTTGGGAGCTCAAACCTTTCTTGCTTCAGAATGTGAGTGTCATGTTTATGAATGAGGCTGAGAAAATATAAGGAACTGTCTTTCACGATGTATTTCAAAGTCATCATATGAATAACTGTAAAGCAAACTAAGTACATCATTTTTGTGAGACGTCGTGTGCATTTTGACAGTTTTGGCTGCTTTTTCACAAAAGATGGTGACTCAAAGCGTACATTAGATTTGTTATGCATGTTTTGAATGATTGTGTTTCTAATGCTTGAGCACACGTAGTACTGTTTTAATCTGCCACCCATCTCTGCACACATTGTACTTGTGATCATTTCAAACATAAGTATTGTCCTGGGTTTTTTGAGGATTAGTACTGTTGCTATAGTGATTTGTATCATGTAATTTTTATGTAATTACATTCTTTCCAAGAAATATAGGATAATTAGATTATAGAGTTGTTAAACAACATGCAAACTCTTCAACCTACTCATGCAAAATCCTCAGGTCTTTTACTAAGTGTTTAAATCCTATACACCAATATAAGTTCTATAATAGTCCTGTCTGTTCAATTGTGAAATTATATAATATATAACTTTCTATATAACCTCTCTAGTCAGACTGGAACAAACATTGGTCAAACTTTTTTTCAATATTATTAATACTTTCTTGTCAAATTGATTTAGGTTTATTTAAACGTCCTACATACAAAATATCAAGTGTACATGGGCTGTGAGACAACTGCTTAGTTCTTTTTTGTGGTCACTCAGCCAGCTGCTTAGTCTTTAGATTATAAGCAGAGAATAAAATATACAAATAAATGACTAAGTGAGGTGTATGCTGTAGTCAAATCAGGCCTGTGTCACATGTGGCGGGCCATGAGTGAGAATCTTAACTAAAGCCGCTGCTGAACGAGTTTCCGCCTCTGACGTCATGCGTGCGCAGGTGCCAGGTAGCGGGCTGCTCGGAGACGTGTGCGTGCTTTTAGAGTACGTCTTTTGTGCTTGGGGGGGTTTGGTTGGAGGGGAGATTTATGAGCTTCCTGGCTGCTCCTCTGAGACGTGAGGACGCTTAATGCATCGGTTGAGGCTAATGTCCCTCCCTCCAGACGCACTGCTGTCTGCGGACTCTGGCTCTCACTGGGCCACGGTAAAAAAGCGGCACATTCTCCATTCCTCCCACCACCTACTCTTTGGCTGGTTGGCGCGCGCACTTGGACAGGCATCCCACGCGCAAAGACGCACCAAACCTCATCACATGTGGGAAGTTGGAAAGTCCTGATATCAAAATGATAGGCCGACTCACGCTCCATCTATTGTCCGCATCCAACAACCATTCTCTCTAATGAGGCCGTGCGCACGGAAAGTTTACATGAGTACAATTTCACACACTGTGGTTTCCCATGATGCTCTAGACGCGTAATAAAAGCAGTCTGAAACATATCTGTGGCTCAACGCAAGAGGTGGATATGAGATATTGAAAGTGACCGTCTGCTGTCAGCTGAAATGGAAACAACTTTCTAATCTTGCTCGAAAAACAGAGATGGTGATTTAGCCTCGTTCTTTTGAACCAGTGCTGCCCCTTACAAAACGCATTATGGCAAAGTCACTGTCAGTAAAAGTGGATGGTTATTCAAAAAGTGGATAACAATAAAACAATAACCATGCTAAATTAAAGAGCGACAAAAAGTCTGCGCGCAAATTCGATGTGCCACTGTCACATGAACACAACGCTTGACATTCACGGTTGAAAGCCTTGTCAACAATGGATTTAATGTGGTACAAGATCAAATCACACACTACGGGGTAATAGGTTAAAAAGGCAAAAACGTGTAGGCTATGTTTCAATACATATGTTATAGCAAAGTATATCAGCAGACGCACATTAGTGGATTGACCTAATGCGCGCTGTTTCCACCGGCTATAACTTCATCCTATATGAAGATGACATCCCAACTTTGAGCATACTTCAACAAAGTGTATTTCCTCCTGTCCTACCTCTCTCTTATATACGAGCGTATTTTCAAACACGACTGGGTTTTATTCACACCTACCAGAACGGATCCAAGCAGAAGGGAGGGCTGCCACAGTCCGAGCGGTCCGTCTCCCTGCTCTCTGTGGCGAGTGGTGACAAAAAACAAAAGGCTACTGGGAAAAAAGGTTCTTCTCACACTACACAATCCAACAGTGCGGCTGCTAATCAGTGATAAATGACAAAAGAAAACAAAAATGGTTCAGCGTCAGTTCCTTACAGACAAGCGTACTTTCTGAGAGGCTGAACGCGTGGGTTCCCCCAGCTCTCTCGCTCCTCTCGATCCCACCTCTACATCCCCGCTCTCACAGAGGAACATGCAAACACATTTCATAGATTTTTGGAGCTTTACGGAAAACCCGGAGTGGAATCTGCATCTATGAGCCACGGCGCAGTAATCCACGCCAGACCCTACCTCATGTCTGCTTTGGTTGGCCAGTAGCCTCGTCTGTTGCCAAGTTAAATATAGGCTATGGAGATTTTGAGCTAGATTCAGCCAAGAAGTGACACTTTATCATTTCAATGATAGGGAGATCTATGTGGTGTACATGCTCCAATCCGAGCAAAAATACCAAGTTATTGTGGTAAGTCATGTAGATTTATTTATTACATATTTAAAACAGAATAGAATGTTATTAGATTCATACTATGTAAAAAAAATAAAAAATTAAAATAAGTTTAAACACAATTCTGGAATGACAACAACAATACTTGGACTGGAGTAGATCCAGGACCAAAAGGCAATGGCATGGTTAAATAGATGCTAAATTTATCTATGAATTATTTGTGAATTAAATGTGATTGCATGCACAATTGCACTTCAATCTGAAGAGACCAAGACAGAAACATGAATGCATAAAAAAGATTTATTTGTATTGCCGCATTGACCCCGGCAGTGATACTTGCAGAGGGGAGATCGTCTGCTGCTGTAGATGATCTCAGACTCCCCCGGAGTCAAGCACTGGTGGTGGCTAGAAGCATGGAGTTCATGGAGTTGTTACATGTTTTTACCAAAAAATATATGAACTTTTTGTCCAATCTTAGTTCATAAACGAGATATAAAATCAAATCATGTTAATAAACTCAATGCAATACTGGCCAACAGATAATATGTAAGTGAAAGTCTGTGGCCCCCCTCTCTCATTTAGAGTTTGGACCAGGTGAAACCAACATGCTTCCATATACATCAGACGTAAAGGCTGCAGGGGCTTACACTATGTCAATGTTGCAGATCTTATCATTTCGGCACTATCCTCCATGCTCACATTGGGCGGCACGGTGGCTGAGTGGATAGCACTCACAGGGTCCTGGGTTTGAATCCTGGTCGGAACAGGGCCTTTCTGAGTGGAGTTTGCATGTTCTCCCCATGTCTGCGTAGGTTTCCTCTAGGTACTCTGGTTTCCCCTACCAAGTAGCTGGTTAAACAGGGCCGGTGGAAACACTTCCAATTAGGGACGTGTTGAGAGCCGAGTGGAGTATAGTGCCAAGTAGGGCTGGTGGAAACAGGGCTTCAGACTCTGAGCTAGCCTGGGAATGCTTTGGATTCCACTGAATGAACTAGAGGATGTGGGTTTGTTCCACAGGTTATTATGGTTTTTGGGAAGGACATCTAGCCTTTTAACACCCAACACGACCGCAATAATATTGAGACACCTTTGCACAAGATTGTCAATATCTCTGAATCTCTAGCGTTTGGTTAAAAACACATGTGGACAAACTGGTATTTACAGTTTGCCAATCAATAGTAATAATAATAATCGTAATAATAACATTTATACATTTGGCCCCAACCAGCTATTATGTTTTTAGATTTAGCCCCTGACCCAAATGAGTTGACAGCCCTGCGTGAGAGCCATAGACTGTAAAGTTAGAGCTCTGAATAAGCTCCCCTCCAGATGCAGCAGTCTCTGAAAGCCAGTCCGTGTTTTGCAGCGCTCCTGTCTGCTGGCTGGCGGCCAACCCAAGTGTGTGGAAATGACACCGCCAGGGCGGCAGAGATTTTCCTTCATTTCTCTCCTTCCCGATCGCAGACTGGCTGACATTGGCTAGAAAGTGGAGCAGCTCGTCAGGGACAATCAATGCGAATCGATCGAGCTGCGTGGTAGAAGCTCTGGAGCTGGAAAATATCGTGGCGGCCGAGCAGAGCGAGCTGGGAGAGGAGGAGAGAGAGGGAGAGAGGGAGAGAGGGAGAGAGGAGAGAGGGGCAGTAGCCAGCAGCCTCTGTAAACAAATATGCTCTGCGCTCGTAAATATGACACTCACTTAGTAAATACTTAAGTCAAAGGCTCTGCACGGGACTCCCGCTTCTCACGTCTAGACAAACAAACAGTCAGGCATTTAGACACTTCACATACTAGTATCATTAAACTAGGCCTATACACATTGGTTTCATTAATAATAATTAGATTTACATCAATTAAAATTCACTAATATTACCTACTTAGTAGTTTTACTTTGTTACCATATACTTCTCTATATGAGATTTGAAGATTGTCGTTAGGCTACTGTGGAGCAACGTTTTCTTGAACCTTTAGTTGTTGATTCTTATTAATATTCGTATTCGTAGATAAATTACATGTGCATTTTATTATACTACGCAAGCAGGAGATAAGAATAGCCGTCTAAACACACTGAATATAATAACAATACAATTAATGTACCCCTCTGTTGGAGGTTCAGCCCGATTCAATGGCAGAAAGACCATATACATTTAGTAAACATAAGAGCTGAGGGACAATCTATGCATGAAAATTAAAAACCACCGCCCCCGGCCCATCTCCCACCTGTACATAAGTGTAATTCTTATGGCCTTTTCATGTTCTATATCCACACACGTATATGATGGCTGTTTCTAGAGATGAATGAGTGATGCATCGCTGTGGAGAGCAGAAGCTGCATGTTTCTTGGACTTGTTCTGGTGCTGTGGATCCATGGGCTAAAGCTACACTCAGCTCTTTGTTGTTCCCTTGTGTGATGGGAGCCAGGGTACTTTCCTGAACCGAGAGAGGGATTAGAGTGGACGGCCTTCATCCCCAGCTGCACACATGACTAACGCTGAAGGAAAGCCCCTACATATGTCCCATACAGAGAAAGCAAAAAGAGGCAACATTTATACTTTTACTTAAACTATAATGAACTTAAGCTACTTGTTGGTTTCAGTTACAATCAGAAAGTAATCGCAACTTTCGGCAATATATAGTTTCTCTCTACACTATGAGTATTCATGGGACAGTGGGCTCTCCCCTCCCATTGGCTGCTGTGTGCCTCTAGATGATGTCACTTCCTTTTCAATACCACAGATGCTGAGATCACCTGTTTCATTTGCCACCAAATTTTACCATCTGCAATAATTTCTTTGGTTTGGTTCTCACATACAACAACTGGGCTTAACTCAACACAACAAATGTTACATCTACAACATTTTCAAAGCAACACAAACCGTGTTTATGGGTCAATTGACATGTAAAAGTCAGTAAGGTTTTGTTGAATGGTTAAATGTTCCTGTCCAAGTCATGTCCCTTTTTCACACAATGATCAATACAACATTTTAACTCTTTAGGACCTCCAACAGTTCTGACTTGTTTGTAAGACCAGAGCTCCACCGAGTGGTAGATTTGTGACATGCCAGGGATAAAGAATAGATTGTAACAAAGTCTTCAAATTTGCAATTGATCGAAATTTAAAGGGGCCTCCAATAATAATTCACCAATTTTTCCGAAGAATATATGATTAATTTGCATTTTACCATAATTCATGTTAAATTTAAAGGGGTTCAGAGTAATTGTAATAAATTATCTCAATTTCTTGTTTTGTGCTTAAGCTTTGGTTGCCCAACTATAGGATAGAGTATAGGGTCATTCCCCATGCTCTCGATACAATAAATTGGAATTAACTATATTGCCCACGAGAGCACAATCGACAGGTGGCATCAAACTATTTAACTTTTGTTTTGAAAGATATAGCCTTTGCCTAATATCAAGGTTTACGCAGTACCCATAAAAAAGACAAGGGATGGATACTGTACCTTGTCAACACAAAACCCACCATTAGGCTATTTGACTTTCACATGAGATTGATTGAATATGAGCAGATTGAATGTTTTGGTTTGCGTTGATAAAAGCATGTAGTGTTTGCTCTAATAGGAAATCAAACCACATTAAAAAGGGGACACAGCACAAATTTGCCCAGGGCCCCCAGATCGCTATACTCCACCAGTTCCTCAGCACCCAAACCCAACAATTACATTTTGAATTTACTTGTATTTGTAAATAAAATATCAAATATTAAATACAGGCATACAAAGAAAATCAATCACCCATAAAAACAGAACAGCTCTCACTTTCTTGTTGTTTTGTTTGTCCCAACAAAAAGTCTTGTTTGGTCACATTTTGTGAAGAAAATATAGCTTTTACATTTTAAGATCTGTGAGGCCATAAATACATACAGGCGTTTTGAGAGCGAGCGACTTACAAAGATATTTATTATTTTTGTGGTTTTAATTAAGGCAGAGCATCTGACGCCAATCTCCTGCTGAAACTAACTGTTTATATATTAATTGCTTATATTGTGTGTATTTATGTTATTTTACATAGAACATGTGATCGGAGCTGATTTATTTATTTGCTGCTGTTTTGATTTCAGTCAGAGTCGTTATGGGTGCAGTGTGCGGGCTGTGGATTAACAGCGCTTTGTCGCCCTCAAGTGAAAATCCACCACCAATGCTCGGTTTTATTCGTCACTGGCCTCCCTCTGCAAGACTTTTTCCGATCCTGCGATTTATACACACCTCGTACAGAGTCTACACAAGCCCGTTTCTACACAACATACATAACATATGTTTGATCTCTACACGGGCAGCCCACGCAGGGTCAGTTGCAGCAGTCCTGTGTCTATTATGATAGGCCTACATCCATGGTCCCGTGCAACATTTGCGTGGGAGTTCCCTACGCCGCCATATCGGGAAAGCGCACGTCCCTCCCTCGCTTTACGTGCGTGTGCGTGCGTGTGCGTGTGTGCGTCCTCCCCCACATTAAAAGCTTAGCACAGCAGCAGCAGCGGCGGCGGCAGCATCATCTCCCTGCATCCAGCATCCCCCGTATCCCTTCTCCTCCCGCAGAAGAGCATCTGCCCGGCGTCCGAGTGATGCCACAGCGCCTCTGGCTCCTCTGCAGCTGCCACAGTCTCTGAAGACGCGTCTAACAGGAGACTGAACAGAGAAAACCCGCTTCAGCCTCGAAGACCGCTCCAGCTCATGAAGATGTCTAACGCGGACATCGTCTTAAACGCCACCGATCGGATGGTCAAATGTAAGTGAGCGAGATGTTGTGAATATTACATAACATCTGGAGTGTCACGGCCTTTCGCCTTTATTTCTCGTGATGTCGTGTTGGCTCCGTGTAACTGTAGCCCACATCCGTCAAGTTGTGGGCTCCTTTGATGTTGATAAACAATCTTTGCTCCTTCGCCTCCATGTTAAATCCAGGCAGTTATCCTACAGTAGCAGTGATATTCATTTTTTACAAAAATCTGCTGATTTATTGATGCAGGGGCCCTCGCTGTCACGACTGGTGCTGGTTTCAGATCGGCTACAACGCACAGAGGGGAAAGAGCTGAATTGTCGAGCTCGGAGCTGGGGCAGTGATGCAGCAGGATTTCAGTGGCAGGGCCGGTGGGAGATGGCCAAATTGACATTTAATGGGGTGTATGTTACCGGGAGTGAGTGAGTCATCTTCTATAATTTCATTAGAGGAATCCCAAAGCTGAATCAGGACATGGTGGAGTAGACATATTGTATATGGCTCTATGTAGGAATGCAACTTGAATCAATGGAGGAGGATGAAGTGTTCAGTTGTGTCACTCCTTCATTTTTCTCCTCATGGACTTGCTCCCATGTGGCTTGGCCGCATTCACTTATGGTTACAGTATTTCATTACAGGCTAATGGTTATTGGCTCACTCTATGTGTAGCCCACTTTGAGTAACATATTAGAATTATACATTATTAATGTTACAGGTGCTCTTGCTGAATATTGAAAACTTCATCTGAGCATTGTCACCACTCCACAGATTTGACCTGTAATCCACTTTTCTCTACAAGATAGACCTTTTACAATAATGCATGTATTTTTGTTTCTCTCTTTTGTAAGATTTAATAAGATTAAATACATCAGTACCCCTAATGTTGATATTTGTTTAGCTTATGTGTGTATATTTTTAAACACAAAATATTATCATTTATTTACCGTTATTCAACTAGGAAAATCTCATTGAGATTAAACTCTTTTTTCAAGGGAATCCTTGGGTTAAGGTTCAGTTACAGATAGAAAAGGTATGCATTACAATGGCAAGGTGACACATACTGTAAAAGAGGCACTTCAAGTAAAACAGTTACAGACAGTCTCAAAGACTCCAGATAAATGATTGTAATGAAACTTTTTCCTGGCATGGACACACCCCAGTAAACCATTTGTATTTGCCTTTATCCTTAAAGCAAGACTAGGCCTACTCAACTTTAGATATCACCAACTTCTGTTATTCCCCAATTAAAAGTGTTTTCTAAACCCATTGAATTAGAAAACCTTTGTTGTTTTTGTGCTGGAACTGATCGGCTGTTCACAGGTGGTTAAACAAAGATTATATATCAAAGTGACTTCTTCAGCCTTCTTAATTTTACCATAACGGTGTTGCGATTCAAAAATGGTACAAATATGAAAATTTTTGAAAAGAAAAAGATTTTGAGCCTCAAATATTGTTTCATTCATGAATTATAGTATTGCTGCTTGTGTGTTATTATAGCACATGGTAGTTTCAGTATTATAGTTTATCATGATGGATCACTATGACACTTTTCTATTTGACAGCCACAGTTCACTTTGGAGAGACCCAAGAGGGAAAACGCAGTTAGAAGTTTGTTGATTGAGTATGTTTGGCGCCCTAGGCCCGGGAGAGATGCTGATGAGTGCGGCGCTTGCTCGCGCGCATAATCCCCAAAAACGGGCAGTGTTATCTTTGCGCGCCGGGACGTGAGCGCTCGCTTCACAATCAACGATCAACCGGACGCTGCCTGGGACGTGAGCGCTCGCATCACGATCGATACCAGACGCTGTAGCAGAGTTATCTTTGAGCGCCGGGACGTGAGCGCTCGCATCACGATCAACCGGACGCTGCCTGGGACGTGAGCGCTCGCATCACGATCAATACCAGACGCTGTAGCAGAGTTGTCTTTAAGCGCCGGGACGTGAGCGCTCGCATCACGATCAACCGGACGCTGTCTGGGACGTGAGCGCTCGCATCACGATCGGTACCAGACGCTGTAGCAGAGTTGTCTTTAAGCGCCGGGACGTGAGCGCTCGCATCACGATCAACCGGACGCTGTCTGGGACGTGAGCGCTCGCATCACGATCGATACCAGACGCTGTAGCAGAGTTGTCTTTAAGCGCCGGGACGTGAGCGCTCGCATCACGATCAACCGGACGCTGTCTGGGACGTGAGCGCTCGCATCACGATCGGTACCAGACGCTGTAGCAGAGTTGTCTTTAAGCGCCGGGACGTGAGCGCTCGCATCACGATCAACCGGACGCTGTCTGGGACGTGAGCGCTCGCATCACGATCGGTACCAGACGCTGCAGTGGAGTTATCTTTAAGCGCCGGGACGTGTGCGCTCGCATCACGATCAACCGGACGCTGCAACAGGGTTATCTTTGAAGAAGTGCGTGCCGCCACCAGAATCTTATTGGTTCACTTACTTTGCTTTGTATTGTATTGCTTTGCTGGGAGCTTACGAGGAAGCCAGTAGCCGTTGTGCAGCCAGGATGGCGGACGCGTCTGGCCTGATGTAGGTGGAGAAAGCCGAAGAGGACCAGCGCCCCAGCTGTTGCAGAGAGGTGTGGGGGAGCCCCAGCGAGGCCGCGCGCGTGGCAGCGCCTATCCTGAAGGAGTGAGCTGTGTAGAGCTGGGGAGACAATTTACAGAGGAGCAGTAGGGATCTTAGTCGAGCTCTGAACCAGGTTGCTGTCATGGGAAGGTTGTCTGGAGTGAGAAATAGAGGTCCGTTAAGATCTCCTTTTTGCAGCGGAGGCGAGTGTAACGCATAAAGAATTTGTAGGGGCAGAGAGATGTGTCGGAGCGAGCTGTTACTATATTGCAGGCTCCTTTGATTTTTGAATGTTTGCGACGGAGGTTGAAATGGTCAGGGGACATTATGTTGGGTGAAAAAGAGCGACCTTTGTTTAATGCTTCCACTACGTCGAGATTATCACACATGACAGAGATCCTCTTTCTCTGCCACGTGTGATTCCACAGCGCGCAGCCACGACCACTGGGAATATCTCGTGTAGGGCAGAGGAGATGCTCCGGTGGAAAGTAGCGGCCACGCTCGGCAAGCCAATGGTCCTGGAAGAATCCCCCAAAACCCACGGAAGGGGCAGCGTCCGTGTAGAAGCGGAGACCTGTAGGGGCAGAGACATATCGGAGAGGGCCATTGATGATGCAGGCGCCCTTACGCTTAGAATCTTGGGTTGGAGAGTAGATAATCAGGATAGTAGGATGGTCGGGAAAGCCGTGTCTCGGACCGCATGAAGGTTGAGTGAGCAATGGTGAGACGCTTATGCAGAGAAGCCACGGAAGGAGAGCAGGAAGATGCCGCGAGGAGGGCAGACATGTACTTGGAAGATGAGCCGGAGTTCAGAGCCGCTGCAGGATGGGCAGCGTGATGGGGAGCCTGCGATCAGAAGAGTGAAGAATACAGGTATGGATGCCTTTGATTAGGAGTCCGATTGACGGCTCAGCTACTCGGCCAGCTGCATCTGATAGATCAGAAGATTAAGTAGAGAGATGAAGCATGACCGCCGAAGCGACCCTGGGAGCATAGGTGCGAGTCCAGCGCAGCGCGGCATACTCTGCCGGGCTGCCTCCATTAGAAGCAGGATAAGCTTCTGAGAGAGTGGGTTGCAGCAGTAGCAGTAGCAGCAGCAGCAGCAGCGGCAGTACCTCAGATAATAACAGCAATAGTCCTGTATCATGCCGCGGCAGCAGCAGTAGCAGCAGCAGCAGCAGCAGCAGCAGCAGCGTCCTTAGAAATAACAGTAATAATTCTGTATCTAAGCCACAGCAGTAGAATGTTGTTGTAGCTGTTCAGTGTTTCAGTAAAAGAGATGCAAGTGAAGAGAGATGGCAAAGTAAATGAAGCAGCAGCAGCAGTAGTAGCAGCAGTAGCCGTATGAAGCAGCAGCAGTAGCAGTATGAAGCAGCAGCAGCAGCAGCAGATGCAGCATCCGTAGATAATAACAGCAATAATCCTGTATCAAAGCCAGAGCAGTAGAATATTGTTGTAGCTGTTTAGTGTTTCAGTAAAAGAGATGCGAAGTGAAGAGAGATGTCAAAATACATGAAGCAGCAGCAGCACGGCAGCAGATGCAGTATGAAGCAGCAGCGGCAGCAGTAGCAGCAGTAACGGTAGCAGCATGAAGCAGCAGAAGCAGCATTAGCAGGAGCAGCAGTAGCAGTATGAAGCAGCAGCAGTAGCAGCAGTATGAAGCAGCAGCGGTTGCAGCATCCGTAGATAATAACAGCAATAATCCTGTATCAAAGCCACAGCAGTAGAATATTGTTGAAGCTGTTTAGTGTTTCAGTAAAAGAGATGCGAATTGAAGAGAGGTGTCAAAGTAAAAGAAGCAGCAGCAGCACGGCAGCAGTAGCAGTATGAAGCAGCAGCGGCAGCAATAGCAACATTAGCGGCAGCAGTAGCAGCAGTAGCGGCAGCAGTAGCAGTATGAAGCAGCAGAAGCAGCATTAGCAGGAGCAGTAGCACCACAATGCGATTCATACAAACAACAGACGTGTCACGCCAGCGTGCGCCGCTTGTTTCCGTGAGCCAGGTTACATACGTGTCTGAAAGAGCCGAGCCGTAGAGACAGGTGCAGCCTGGGAGCCTGCGGAGCGGCAGCGGCAGGAACAGCAGCAGCGGCACATGTAGTAGTAGGAGCAGCAGGAGCAGGCAGCAGGGACAGGCAGCAGCAGGAGCGGCAGCAGGAACAGGCAGCAGCGGGATCAGGCAGCAGCGGGATCAGGCATCAGTAGGAACGGCAGCAGGGACCGCAGCAGCGGCGGTCAGAGAACCGTGCCCACGGTTGTTTAAGAGCCTGAGGAAATAAATCAACCCGAATCCGAAACATTCCCATGCGAATAACAGACGTCCCCGGAGCCATCTTGCTGCTTTGGTTATGGCAGATACGCATGAACAATCACTTTTCCATGTGTTCATTAGCTCCAACTCCACTTCAAACCCATTGCAGATTCACATTGGGCCC